TGGGAAGATATTTTCATTGGTAGGAGAAACTAGGACATGAGGGCACAGCCTTAGAGTAAAGGGAAGACCCTTTAGAATGGAGATAAGGAGAAACTTCTTCAGCCGGAGAGTATTGTGTCTGTGGAATTCACTGCCACAGAAGGCTGTGGGGGCCAGATCATTGAGTATATTTAAGACAGAGATAGATAGGTTTTTGATTGTCAAGGGAATCGAGCGTTATGAGGAGAAAGAAGGAGAATGAGGTTGGGAAACTTTATAAGCCATGGTTGAATGGTGCAGCAGACTCAAAGGGCTGAATGGCCTAATTTCTGCTCCAATGTCTTATGGTCCATTGTGGCCTTATAGACTAACCCTTGTATTTCACCCTCTATAGAGCATTAAGAAGTATCTGGCTTCAATCAGTGACCAGTCGGACCTTAGCACTGAGGCTGGGAGCACTAGACGCAACATCAAGAAGAATCGATACAAAGACATCCTGCCATGTAAGACCCCTGTATTTGAGGCTGAAAGGTGGTTTTGAACTGGATGCTAGGTAAGGTTAAGTGGCTGTGGGGACCACAGTGGGCAAGAGGAGGAGTTGCTGTAGTCGGCACATCAGTTCTTGAACAAGGGTTGAGGAATCCCAAAAGGTGTGTGGTAAGCCGCCTTCTTGAACTGCTGCACTCCCTCGCCCCGTGTGGTGTAGGGACACCCCACATAGTGCCCCGCTAGGGAGGGAGTTCCAGGATTCTGATCCTGGTGACACTGAAGGAACGGCCAGTATCGTTCCAAGTCGGGATGGTGTGTGGGGGTCTCGGAGGGGAAGTTGCAGGGGGTGGTGCTCCCCCTGCGTCTGCTGCCCCTCATCCTTCCAGGGGGTTTATGAGGTGGTGTTGGAGGAGCCTCGGTGAGTTTGCTGCAGTGCATCTAGTAGACGGTACACACTGCTGCTGCCGCGTGCTGGTGGAGGGAGTGAGTGTTGGAGCTCAGCCAAGCATTCCTAATGTGACCATCTGCCGCTGTGCGTTGGTGGTGGAGGGAGGGAGCGTTGAAGCTCGGGAGTAGTTGTGTCATTCGAGCGGGAGTGGTGCTGCTTCGTACCTGGATGGTGTCGAGCTTCTCGAATATTGTCGGAACCGCACCCATCCAGGCAAGTGGGGAGTAATCCATTGCACTCCTGACTTGTGCCTTGTCAATGGTGGGACAGACTTTGGTTGGTGGGGGGGTTGGGGTGTGGTGTTCGAGGTCAGGAGGGCAGTTACAGCATGCTTGCTGGCAGTATCTGAGGAGTGGCGAATGGTGCTGAATGTTCATGAATATCCACCCCCCACTTCACCCTCTGACCTCTATGTTGCAACACCCACACTCCCTCGCAAGGCAGTGCTTGAACTGAGTGATGCCACGGTCAGCGCACTGGCTGTTTGCTTGGCCCTGACACAGCGGCTGGGTTTACAGAGGCTCCATAACAGATCCTGGCACACTTCAGTGACCAATGGTTCCGAGCTATGGGGAGGAGCGGTAGGGGGAGAAGGAAGGTACAGATTAATCCTGATCTCTCATGGTTGTTTGTTTGGTGGGGGGCGGGTGCGGTGGGGATTTGTGTGTTCCTCTTTCAGATGACCAGACTAGGGTGCCTCTGACGCTGCTCGAGAATGAAGGGTATTCTGACTACATCAATGCCAACTTCATCCGGGTAAGTCCCGGCACTGCACGCGCCAGGGAGACCACTGCTTCCAGCCTGATGTCGAGGGAGGGGAATAATTAGGATTCCAGGACTCTGAGGGGAGGGGTGCCCCGATGATTCAGAAGGGTTCAGAGGGATATGGGCCACGGGAGTAGGTCAGTTTGGGAAAACTGGTCAGCACGAACGAGTTGGAGCAAAGCGTCTGTTTCCGTCCTGTATGACTTTGAGTATCAAGTGATTCTCCAAAAGTCATGTAACCTGTAATGGCCACGCAGTTGACCTTTGATCTTCAGACTGGATGAAGAGCAAAGGTCAGGAACATTCTCGGCAAACAACAGCACCCAACGTCTTTTGGCTGGGCTCAGCGTTCCCGAAAATGCACACAGTCTTGACGTTGACCAGGCCTTCCTGCGTTTGAACACGGCATGCTTGCATCTAACCTGGTGTGGAGTAGTTAGGCCACAAGACCCATCGAGCCCCCTCCGTCATTTAGTTAAGGTGAGAGTACATGGGACTATGGTCTCGGCCTCATTCTGCCCAACCCCCATCGATGTTGGGCGCTGTCAGGGGGTTGGCGCCGAGGGAGCGGGCGCTGTCGGGGGTGTCGGCGCTGAGGGAGCGGGCGCTGTCAGGTGGGTCGGCACCGAGGGAGTGGGTGCTGTCTGGGGTTCGGTGCCAAGGGAGCGGGCGGTGTTGGAGGGTCGGCGCTGAGGGAGCGGGCACTGTCGGAGAGTCAGAGTGACCTTTCCTTGTTTTGTCCACTGCAGGGCATTGACAGGGATAAGTACTACATCGCCACCCAAGGTCCCCTGGGGCAGACTGTTGTGGATTTGTGGAGGATGATTTGGGAATATCAGGTCAAGGTGAGATCCTAGTATTTTGCCCTGTTGCCAGCCCGTGCCCCAGTGTGGGGCTATTTGATTGTGATGTACGTCGCCACTGGAGGGCCATGTCCCTTCCATCCCACTATCCCTGCCCTTCTAATTCAGACTTCACCACCTGGAACATTGAAAACATTGGCCGCTCAACCTTCATCCTAACACTGGCAGCAGGGGCAATGGGTGTAGAGGCAAAAAGTGGGTGGGGGAGTGAAGCCACCCACCCACCACATACCCTGGGCCAAGTTGGACCCCAGAAAATTGCCCTAGGCGTGAGCATGAAACACACGTGCTGTGCATAGTGAAGCAGGCACCCCAGAACAGGATCCATTGTTACCCATGTCACCCGTTGCCCCAGTGCCAATCCCTGCCTCTGTCCCCCAGTATCGCTGCAGCCCATTTCTACAAATCCTCATCCAATGCCCCTCTTGAACCTAGCCCAACACATTTCCAGGCAGAGATAACAAGGTGTAGAGCTGGATGAACACAGCAGGCCGAGCAGGAGCCTTCCTGCTCCTCTGATGCTGCTTGGCCTGCTGTGTTCATCCAGCTCTACACCTTGTTATCTCAGATTCTCCAGCATCTGCAGTTCCTACTATCTCTGAAACAT